TGTAAAACTCATGTTCTTTAATTAACAGAAAGTAGTGTGTGCATGCCATATCTTTTAATGTTGAAGTTTGCTCTGAATCAGTTTTTTTATAGAAACCACCATGCGCACTCTACAATCAACCTGTATGATCAGTGTTTGGTTAGCCATGCAGTAAATCACTGAATATACAGACTAGCACACAATGTTCACATGCGTCATATTCTACTTTGAATCTAGATTACAACTAAGTGCCTTGTCTGCACCTTTCTTGGAAATTCTGTATCATTTTGTACCGTATCATTTCTTCAAAGAGCAGGGATACATGTGTAGATATTAACAATAATACAATACTCTATCATCTATGCGAAAGTTACAAATTTTACTGAAAACAGCATACATACAAATGTATTTATTTGCAAAATGCTCCTGCATGTATTTATGGGTTCACCACACCACGAAGTGGTGGTGAACCCATATTGCTTTTTCTGATGTTTCTTCTCCTCCTTCTCCTCCTTCTTCTTCTTCTCCTGCCATTTTTTAAAATGGATTCAGCTTCTTCATTTTAGGGCCCAAGGTCCTAAAATTTGGTATGGAGGTACAGTGGGCAAATACCCCTAGGCGTTTTTTAAATTATTGTGATACAGGCTTTTAGAATGGTTTTATTTGAGTTTTTTGGCTGTGTTATAGCAAATGTATTACTGTGTTAGTGTGCCTTGTTTACCACGTTTGGGCATGAGTCATCACAATGGAATGCAGGGCATCAACCAATAGGCATGCAGCTTTCCTCTATACTTCTTGCTGATTGGCTGTTGGGATTTAACTTGATTAACACCTGCACAGAGCATTTCCACCTGCACAGAGCATTTCTTGCTGATTGGCTGTTGGGATTTAACTTGATTAACACCTGCACAGAGCATTTCCATACTGACAGTATGTCTGTATTCAAGTGTTTTGGTAGGTATTTCAAGCTTTCCTGCTCCAGCATTGGAATGCGGGGCATGGACGTTTTTTTTTTATTTTGTAAAATCAACAGTTTGCATTATGCAATTAAAAATCCTAACCAATAAAGTAGGGAATAGCTATCCAACTGTTGTTTTAGTTGTATTTTACTTTATATTATAGTTATATCAATGTAAATCATTGTTTTCCCTTGTGTTTCTCATTCTTTCCCTGCCATGTGGTAAAATGTGGTGAACCCATCGCTGTATTTGCTCCAAAGCAAATATTGGCCTTTCTAGTTTAACCTTGTTTCCACTGCCTAACCCCATAAGCGAAATTTTGGGCCAAATGGCTACCTTAGCAGGGTGGAGGTTAAACCTCTTTGCAAAGGTGCTCAGATAATGATAAAAACTTGCTGCCTAACCCCATAACCAATAACCAAACTGTGTGGGGTCGTGTGGCGTTGTGGTAGAGTGCTCGACTCGGAACCAAGAGGTCCCGGGTTCGAGTCCTGACATGCCACCGATCTTGTGCCCTTGGGAAAGGCACTTTACATGACTTTCTTCACTTTGCTCAGGTGAAAATGAGTATTGCATTGTCCCCTGTATTGGTGGCGGATTAATATAACTTTATAAGTTGAAAAAACTTGAGTGTGCTGTCACCATGTCTTGTGATTACATGCTGGAATATATATTTAAAAAAGAGCCAAACTGCTACTTCAGTATGCTTAGGTTAACCTCTATCTTGGAACCTTTTAGGAACAGAACATCAGGATTGTGTTTAACTCGCTGGAGGGCAGCTACTCGCTGTGTCTGCTGGCCAACATGGTCCAACTGGCCTACCTCCAGCTGGACATGCTGCCTGTCATCATGGAGCCCTTCATGGGAGTGGTCATCATGCTCCTGGCCAGGTGCCAGAGTTACGTACAGGTAAGGGTCAAGGCAGGATTAGAAATACTCATCTGCAGTCTGCATTTTGAAGAGACATTTTCAATATTGCAGAAGAAAAATCAAGCAACCTGCAATTTTGCAGACTGAAAAAATCAGACTAGGGGTTCAATGTTTCAACAAATGATTTGACCTTCTTTGAGATATCTGGCGCACTCATTTTGGTCATGTGATGGTGGGTCAGTTTAACTGAAGAAGGCCAAAGTAGCAGGTCAGAATTCATTAATTGTTGGTTAGTTGTACAAATGGAGAGGGAAAACTAAAACGGTCCATTTTACCGTCCATTGAACTCGTGGATTCATCCTTAACATTAGTTAAACCAGCTTGTTTTGCAATAGGTGTTTAATGACATTCAGACACATTTCTTAACAAATTTATATGATTACAAATGTATGATACATTTTCTCATTTGAGTCATTTTGCACTTGTCCTACAGTCCAAGAGCTGTAGTTGTGATATATTAGTTAAAACCCTCGCAGGAATTTGTTGTGCATTACGAACAGTGTCACAGATCACTACCTATCAGTCAACAGGCACACCACTTCCCTTTTTTAGCCTGGAAACAGTCCAGAATCAATACCTTCATGAGTACCATGCATAAAATGGAGATTTTGCGGCAGTATCTACCGTGGGGTCCATTTGTCACTGTCAAGAAAGGACTAAGTAAAAGAAGTACCTGCTTAGCATCCATTCAGATTCTTCAATCTGATATGTATATCACAGTCTTGGAAGGAACTGGAAAATCATCATTTTCATGTTGTTATTGTCACTTTTTCTTACTTTAATAATACATTATACATATGCAATGTATCAACACACAACAGGATATTACAATGTACTGAAAAGATCTACATGATCATTTGTGTTTTATATTTAACAGCCAATGGAAACTCATTTGTGTGGTTGAATATTGAAAAAGTTAGATACAATATATATCTAAATCACATTTTTTTCCTTCAGTCTATAATCAAGGTACTATAAAGGAAGAGAAAATAAAGCCCATAAACTTCCTATTCTTTTACCTCATTGCTTGAAGTTGAAGGATAAACATATACTATTTTGTCTTCTTCGTTTAAACTTTTTTCATTAGTTAATAATGGTAACTTATCTTTTAATCTTGTAGTATTGAGGAGGGCCAAAGATGAACCACCAGGTTTCTGGCCCTCCCATGCATGTCTACTTAATTTTCAATTGTGATACTTTATTTGTGAGTGCAAAACAATAAATAAACAAACTATGTAGTTATTTTATTCAGACCTGTGACAAACCCTGCAGGAGCAAAGCTGGTCTAGCTGCTCACTGTTGAGTCCACAAACAGTTAACAGAACGTCTGCCAGGATGAAAAGGCCTATGATAATTTTATTCAGAACGCATATACATTGTACATGTACTATGTAGTCTAATGTCAATTGACTGGGTTAGCTATTCTGAACACAGCTGTGTGTGTGTGCCATTAACAGCTACAAGTACTCTACTACTATTCTAGGCCTCATTATGCCAAACTTGCAGATGTTCCAAAGGTTACTTTCTAATGAGATCTTACTCGTGTTGTGTAGATGGTTGCAATTGCGAGTTCAGATGAGGTAACGTTGGTATGTTCTCATAGCAAGTTCCAAGGGTTTTGTAAAACGGCTTGGGGAAATCTCTCTGATATTGACCATGGGCTCATACCGAAGATTGGACCATTCCAAACGGTCTTGAACCATATTAACTCATCACAACCAATCATGCTGGTACAGACTTGTATGTGAGCGATTTTCAAATTTTCAAAATTCCTTCCTTTCTATGTTTAAAGTTAAAACTTTTGTTCCAACACAAAAAATTCTCTCACCTAGAGCTTTCGACCAGTCACTCTGGTCTTCCTCAATAGACTGACCCAGTGAAGCTTGTCACGTGGCTTCTTTGAAGTGTGACGTCAACACTTGGTCCTTCCTTTCTATATTTTCAACTCCTTCATGAGCTAATTTCAATCTAGCCACTTTAGCCTGTATATTGATTGTAAAAGATTGATAATCTTTTTTCTAAATTACAGATCTAGAATTTCAAGCTAATGACAAGTATGAAATTATCCTCGGTGTCTATACCATCTAGACTTAATGTCTACTTGTAACTATATAAACTACATATATCAAGATACAGTATCACCCACAACATGGTTTTATGTAGCCTTTACTTGCAAAGTATTTTAGGCTTAAACTTTACTAGAGAATTCATAGTTTTATGTTCAAGAAAGTCTCTGTCTTATTTTAGATTATGGTTGCAGTTACAAAATTGCAGTTGACAGTTTCTGACTCATGATATTTTCACCGGAGTTAGTTGAAGGTCACATGTGGCATTGTCATTTAGGAAAGATGCGTAATATAGAAATACTGCTTTGGAATTGTATAAAGCTACACGATGGCAAGGTGGTGTGCTGGTTAGGGTTGTTGAGTCTAAAGGTTCTGGGTTTGAATCCCTAGGCCACACCAATTTAATTTGTTGGTTCTCGAATTTTGTCAGAAAAAACATGAAGCGACAGGGCGAAAAAAAATAAAAATAAAAACAGGTTTAGGCATCCTATTATAGCCCCAAATGCTATGATAGGAGCCATGAAGTCAACACAAAAGGTTGTGTTTTTTAATATTTAAACAATGAATTTTGAACTTTTAATCCAACCACTGCATTGATAGATGGAAACACTGCAACAGCTAGGAAGAAAAGGACTTTCCACAACTGTTGGGGGCAAAATATGAGCATTTTTGAGTTGATTCAGAACCAGAATCTTTTTTTTTTTTGCAAATCAGAAAAAAATGAAGAGGCGAATCCGAGAACCAACAAATTAAATTGGTGTGGCCCTAATAGGCCTCGGTGTTGAGGAAGGCACCTGACACCTGAAATGAGTACCTAGCTTCATTTAGGGATGTTGTCTTGGATAGGACTTTGAGCACATTTAAGAACCCACCACACTGACAGAAAAGAGTCGGGGTCCATCCTGGTGTGAGTGGATCAAACTTTACAGGTTTGACATACTGGGTTGACATACTGTACTGAAAAGGTCTGTTGATGTGTTATGCCAACCCTGCCACAAATGTGGTAAATCTCAATAAATATGAAATAACGTATACTCAGGTTCGCATTTCTGCAGCTCAGTGGTATTAGTTAACATGACCTATGTGATACCCGGCTTGACTGGATCTTACAGCATAAAGAATTGCCTCTTAAATCTTCATAAGTGCACAAACAAGACTGAGATAGCTGTTGTTATACCCGCATGTATTTCAGGATCCTGGATTAAGTTCTTATTATTGAACCGCTGGGTTCCCAAATTTCCTTTTACCAGGCATAATTGAACCATAACTCAGTTTGTATTACTACCATTTACTTGTGAAGTACCGGATACCGGTAGCTGTAATTCAAGAATGTTACAAGAAAAATGGAAAACAAGTTGTAAAAGCTGGTACAATCATTTCTGTAAAGTTTTCTGCTTTTTCCAATATGTTTTGGTTTTGGTTATATTACTCAACAAGGAAAAGGAAAAAACCATGTCATGGTTCAGAATAAGTAGGGAGTCTTAAAATTTTGGCTCAGAATCCTCATAGTGAAATACATTTACCAATCATACAAGTAGTTTAGAATACTAAGATACAGACACTGTCATATATGAATTTTGTGACAATATTTACCCTAGCTAGTGTAGCCGTACCAAAAGAAATATTTCAAATCCTAGGGTTCATGTAGCACTAGACAGTTATAAACCACTGCTGCAGATCCTACCATTCATTCGGCTCTCTCACTCCAATGGTTTGGCTTCCATGGAATCAATACAGATCATGAGGATGTACAACCAGTACTTATTTTGAAGGTTACACATAGGACAAATAACCTCACAGTTTTCACAGGTTTCATGGTATATAAATCTGTAAGATACGGTAGCTTGAAATGAACTTGGAAGAACTAATGAAAATGGTTATTAGACATTTAGAATTTTAATTAAGATATCATTCTTTTCTAATAACCAGTTCTTAGCATATTGAATGTGGTTTACTCGATTATCTTTTGAGTCAGCAGATTGATATAGAAATGTTATTCAGCCTTTTTTTAATATGTCCTAACATTTGTAGCAATGTCCTGGGAAATTATAAGAGCTACATGTCCTTGACATTAGCATCAATATTAATATGTGCATAGATTCCTTTCGTCCTGCTGCATTGCAGCAATATTTTGTGGCATTTAGAATGGACACAGTACCTGATGAGATTATCAGTATGACAGGATGGACAATTTTACAACAGGAAGCACTGAATGTAGATATAGATTTGCCTCCAGGGATATTCATAAAAGTTAATGTTTATGAAGGAAATCTATAGTACAGAAGTAACCATGGCTGGGGATATATTTTGTACTTAGACGTTGATGCTACTAGTAACTATATTATACCTTGTAGTTTGGGATTTGTGACCCTGGCTATACAATGTGCTTACTACATGTGTATAAATCTTGAAGTGTTCAAGGTACTTTTATGTTCACGGCTACACTTCATATATGCATTTTCCAATGTATTGCTAACAGCAACTGCACTACTCAACTGTTTCATCTGCAAACTTAAAACACTGCATAAACCTTTTTTTCCCCTTCTACTGCCCAATTATACTTAAGTCCTGGTGAAAGATAAATTTAAAGAGTTTTGTGTACAAGGCATACCTCTGGAGTTTCCCAACCCCAGACTCTGAGGAAAAGACACCATGGCAAGAAGTGGAAAGACACAGGACTTAGGTTAATGGTAGCAGAGTCTACAGAACCCTGGACTGTACAGCATGGAGGAACCTTAACTTACATGTACATGTAGGAGGGCAAGGGGCCAGCTCCTGGCCTAAGACAGACAGGCTGTACTTACTGATACCTGAGACATGACAGATTATGGAAGCGCTTTACTGTACTGATGGTAGGTACATGTAGAACTTTGGATGGCAACATCCCAACACATGACTAACTAGCAGTTTGATTTATGCTGTCTGAAGCACTGTCTGTCTGAGACCAAGCCCTGTCTGCTACCTGGTGATCATGATTAGGACAAGTGACTAATCAATAGTCTGTAGGAGTGGTCCTTGTGCTTTTCCGTATTGTTCAATACTTCTAGTGAAGGTTAGATGCAGTGAAATTGAAAATACTTTTTGCCATTACAGTAGACCACTGGTGGCTTTCCTTGGTATTCCAGGTTTTTGTATCTTCAGTTCTGGACATATCTCTCAGATTTTTTGATGACAATTATAATACATGTAATATAATAATAGCTTTTATTGCTAGGAAAATGTGGTGTCAACTTCAGCCCTCTCACAGCTTGCTGTGGAACTGCAGGGGTGTTTTTGTTGGAATCTTTGTTGATTTGAATTACTCTGTGTTTTTGCCATTACATATATTGACATTTACAATTCTTATGACCATTATTGGTCAGGGCTTATCTGCTACCTTAAATGATATAGGATGAGCCATGATGTGTTCTCTCTCTTATCTATTCACAGCACACTAGTACTAGTGGCCCAGTGCCAAGGCTTGCTGGCATGTTTTTGAAATATAGACCTTACTCTAGGTCACAGGTGTATTCTGTAAGTACCCATAATCCTAACCCCAAGTCTGACCTGCCCAATTAAAATGTTTGGTGGTATGTAGTTCACTGTATTCTGCTGCTGCAGTAGCTCTGCATCTGCATGGTGGTATGAGGTGTGAGAATTCAATTCACTGTGCTGGTGACCTACCCTTGTGTGCTGGAGCCTATTACTATTAGAATGGCCCTTGTTAAGTATCAGGGTACTCTAAGACTTGGTCCGTTACAGTACAGATGCAAATTTTCCTGCAATTATGAAAGGCCAAGTTTTTGTGTGTTTCTTGCATAATGAAATAATAATTATTGTTTCATGTTGAGAGTGAAGAAATAGTTGTTTTCATTATGTGTCTATTTACACTTCATCCAGATTAGAGATCAGAACAGGATGTTAACCTTCTCCCTGCTGCCTAACCCAGTAACCAATACAAATTTGGTTCCGTAAAGCCACCTTAGCAGGCTGAATGTTAAATTCAGAAGCACACAGGAGTCTGGAGACACAGACCAATTATAGCGCCCAGCTTAAATAGCCCAGACTCTGCCATGGGAGGCTTAATTCAGTGTTAAGAGGCTCAATTCATCGGATTTGTACCATGAAAATCAGTGCGGAGGTACCCTTATGAATACTAATGATGATATTCAGTCCCTCTTAGAGTATTTGTTGTCCTATTCCTAACACAAACTTGCACATCATTATGTATACCTCCCAACAAACCTTTAAGAGATATAAATGGATATGATATGAGGTTATTCCTTGCCACTTTCCCCCTCCTTAATTTGTCTGGTAAATATTTGCCCCACTGAATTCACTCCCCCTTCACAGATGAGGTATAATGGAGTCTTAGTGCTTTGCAAGTCCACTTAAAATGCTAAATTGCAGGTCCAGATGGTCTTTGAAGAGTAGGTGTACTGATGGGGGATGCTTACTTGATTCCACGTGTGCACTGCAGTACTTTCTGATACACGTACATGTTAAAGATCAGGTACAAGCATGATGTAATGTCCTTTATGTAAACTATGTAGAAACATACAAGAGGATGAAAATAATGTGCTTTTTTGAATAACTGTAGCATTAGAACGTAGGTCACCATCTATTATTTTTTCCCAAAAAAATTCAGTAATTTTGCAATCTCCATTTTACTAATTTCCTATTGGATTACTTTTTAGCACTGGATAAGACTTAGACTAGTTGCCTTTCAACTGTGTACATATTATCAGCTTACATATCATACAAAAAAATCCTAAGTTTTACTTTGTACTTTTTTAAAAATAATTTTCAACAAACCAATGCATCTACAGTAACTATACAATGAGGTTTGCTGTGAGTGCCATAGAATTTTTTATTTTTTATTATAGTTTTTTGGCCGCCACTTATTGATAACACATGTTGACTAGCAATGCCACATATTCATGAGAAGAATTATATGAAGTTCCTCCTGGGTTGCTATTACAGAGTTGACATCATAATGCTCCCAGCATGGGTCCATGTACATGTGATTATGTACACTGCTCAGCCTTTATTGATTGCTTTAGGGCTTTGAAACTCTGCACGCTGTTTTCAAAATCTTGCTTAAGTTATTGCTTTCCTGACAGATGTACTCTTGAGATTAAAGTGTGATGAAATTTGAAGATAATTTCAAAAATCAGCAAACAGATTCAGTTAATACTCGTAAATTCTGAACTCTTGAAACCATCATATAACCTACCTTCCTACCTACCTTAGTACCTACATTTTGTGTACCATCATGTAAGCAATATCTGGCTTTAAATTCTAACAGGCTACAAAATTTTACCTTATAGTACTTCTGAGAAAGAATTTTTATCTATTCCTTTGAAAGTACATTGTTGTATCGACATGCTCTGAGCGACACTGTTTCCGTCAAGTCAAAAGTGTTCCTACTGTGAGAACAAGTTGTAGCCGGGAGGACAAAAGTACATTAAGTGTACGTGCTGGCAGTCACGTCTGAATTCACATACGACCACTTTGTCATACCCGATATGCCTTGATGAATTGCTCTGCCATGAAGATTCCCATCTCTTAAGCACAGTATTTACCCCCAATAGGGTCATAACATCATACTATGTAAGTGGAGTATAAATCAGCCATGGTGATTTTGCTATCTCGTTGTCCGTATTTTATGTATGTTCCAAAAGATGAATTGGGTGCACTTTAAAGGATTTGGCTGTCATTAGAGTGGTATGGGAAGGAAAGAAAGTAGGGCTGAGGTCAGGTAGCTGATCATAAGCATGATGTCTTGAATATTTTACCATGCGTATACATTTAGGTATGCACAAATTGTGATCAGATGCTAGAATTCTTAGTGATATCACTACCGGTGTCAGTAACTTTGCTTCATGCAAAATATAGAGTCATAATCAGTTTTCGTCTTTTTTCAAAAGTACATGTATCCATACTTTCAGAATATCATTCAGAAGAATATCATTCATAATACTGCACATCTTTTGAAAAATGCTGTTTTCCAGACTGAGTCACTACTGTGGTAGGATTTGAATGTTCCTTTCTACTTTATTGAAAGTTTTGATCTCCATTGATAATTTTTATTTTTTGCCAGAACAAGCAGTCCAGTCTGACCCACTGGCACCCCGTTCTGGGGTGGTTCTCCCAGAGAATAAACCCCACCCTGAACGAGGCCATGCCGAACGTGGTAAAGCAGCTGCAGCTCCTCTGGGCCAGGAACATGGTGAAACAGCTCTTTAGTGAGGTCCTCAGATTCAAACCAATGGCAGGTAAGCAAAACTCACAGAAACTAATACTATAATAATATATTACCCCGGTATAGTAATATACATAATACATGTATATGACTCAGCTGAAGTACATTTATACTGTTTAAACAATACAAAATCAGGCAGATTGTATGCGATCAGTATGTATAATTTCGTGACTCAATCAGCATCAGATTTTGAACTTCTAAACTAAACAAAATGTTACACAGTTGAATTCATATTACATGAGTTATTTAGCGAGACTTAGTCATCAATGCAGTGGTCATAGATGGTAAAGCCATGCTTAAACTTAAACTAGTAAAGAATTGTGTTATATGAAGTATGTTAAATGTCATTACTGTTGAAAGCCATTGTGTTAAATTTTATTTTGAATTCTTGAATCTGAAGGAACTCCAACAACTGAGACACCAGAAACTGCACCTGTGAAGAAAGCCTTTAAGAAAGCTCTACAGAAGTCTTCAGTTAAGCTGAAGGAGATGCGCAGCTCCGGTGGAAGAAAGTTGGATTCTCCGGAGGTCCTGTCTGTGTGCCACGTGTGTGTTCTCTACCAGTCCTGTCTCAAAACACTCACACAGCTTAAACTGGACATACTTACTGGTAAGTACAAGCACAAGTGTTTGTTTCTTCTGCATAACTGGTAAACCACCTTATGCTTTATTCTTTTATTAACTTTCTGGGTGGTCTGTTTTTAGCACTTCAGTGTACAAACATATAGTCTGGTGCTAAGAAACATGTTTAGTGAAACTGCCTTGTAATTATCCATGTCAACAATCATTATCCAGGCAACAAATCTGGTGCAAGGACATTGTCATTTACATTGTACTTTTGCATACTTGTAATTTGTGTGTCCATAAATTTACATCGCACATTAAATATGATTAGCATCTATTGAACAGCAAAGAATTTATTTTCACAGTTACTTACACTTACTTTTAGATGCTACTTTACATGACATGATGTTACTAAAGCTGGATGAGTTTTTGCCCCCAGGTTTGTGTCTCCAAGAGGACCTTCTGTCCAAGCTGTGGGGGTTTATAGATGAGCTGGGCCCCAGCGGTGGACTGAAGCTGTTCCTGGAGTCTCTAACCTCCGACACAGAACAGTTCTCACCAGCTGTTCGCCGTGCTGTCCCTGTCCTGCGACTGTGGCAGCCACATCGTCGCCATCCTGGACGACATGGAGATGTACGAGCAGCAGAAGCCCTTCAAACTGGAGGAGCTGGTCAAGATCTCGTCCTTCCTGAACGCCTTCGCGTTCCGACTGCTGTGGGACGGGATATACGATGGGAAGAACCGCCACACCAGCCTGTTCCAGTCCGTGCACACGTTCCTGATGCTGCTGTACGACAGGGACTGCAGGCGGCCGTTCACCGCGCCGGGACACTGGCTGATCCGCGAGCTGAAGCCCAGCACGCTGGTGTCGGAGCTGGAGAAGGGAAAGCGGCGAGCGCTGCTCCTCCTGCACATGATGCCGCACGTCATCCCACACAAGGACCGCGTCATCCTGTTCAGAAGGTTTGTAACGGACGAGAAGAAAGCTTTGGGGATCATCGAGAACGAGTGTGCATCGCCCAAACCCACCCTGATCACGGTACACCGGTCACGGATGGTGGAGGATGGTTTCCAACAGTTGGCCCTGCTGCCACCACAAGCACTCAAGGGTATCATCAGGTGTGTTTGTATGTTCAATTTGTAACATATTTTCCAAGACCGTCTTTCCACTTATAGATTGTGATCTCTAAGTGACTGTGCAAAGACCAAGATCGGATTTGTGTGACCCTTGAATTCATAATTTGAATATTCATGTAAAAATTATGTCTTAAAAGACAACAAAGCACACAAAAAGTATAAAAAAAGAGACTTTGAAATTTGTTGAGTGACATGTTTAATCTTTCAGGAGAAAAGTGGATCCAGAAACTTTGTATGGAGAGGAGGTGCAATGGACCATAGCAACTGTTACACTAGAGCTTCCTTTAATGCTAATTAATGTATCAAGATCAGTACCTGCAACTATTTTTTTTTAAATTGATACAATGTGTTTACATTTAAATTGTTTTTGTTTGTTTATTTCAGAGTGAAGTTTGTGAATGACTTGGGTCTGGACGAAGCAGGGATTGACCAAGACGGAGTCTTCAAGGAGTTCCTTGAGGAAATCATCAAGCGAGTGTTTGACCCGTCCCTTAACCTGTTCAAGATGACCAGTGGTGAGGAGAGACTGTACCCTTCTCCTACGTCTTACATACAGGAGGACCATCTCACACTGTTTGAGTTTGTGGGGAAGATGCTTGGCAAGGCTGTGTATGAGGTGAGCTGGTGTATAATATGAGTGGAGTCGTGTGGCGCAATGGCAGCGTGCTCAACTCGGAACCAAGAGGTCCCGGGTTCGAGTCCTGATATGCCAACGATCTTGTGCCCTTGGGAAAGGTATATAACACTTCCCCACTAGACTGAAGTGAAAATGAGTATTGTCTGTCCTGTATTTGTTCTATGTGTGGGACACGATACCAATAACAGCTGCCTTTGTCCCACATGTATTGCACTGTTGCAATTTCAGTAAATCAAATCAAATCAAATCAAATCAATGTGTCAGTAAAATCAACTTAGGGAGAAATCAAGAAGGATCTTAGGGAATAATGTACTGGCAACAGCAAATCTAAACTCTGACATTTCAGAGCAAAGAATGGACAAGGTCATATACTGTTGTTTGTTTGTTTGTTTGTTTTATTCAGACCTCCATTAGTGTTTTACACGATGTGGGGAGAAATAAAAATACATGTATGATCTTCACTTTTCCTTACTTCTTACTTCAGCAATTTTTTCTCTGTGTATACCTCTTAAATATTTTGTTGAAATGTTATTTCATAGATTGCAGAGTGTTGCACATGTGTCACTGACATATGTCACAATGCCTTGTCTTTTACAGGGCATTGTTGTCGAGGTCCCTTTTGCCTCCTTCTTCCTGAGCCAAGTGCTGTCCCATCACCACAGCGCCCTCTACAGTTCCATAGATGAACTGCCGTCTCTGGACCCAGAGCTCTACAAAAGTCTGACCTTCATCAAACACTACACAGAGGGGGATGTGCGTGACCTTGAGTTGACCTTCTCTTATGCAGAGGATGTCATGGGGAAGGTATGATTGTAAATAATTTCTTCAGCCATCAAATATGCAAAGCTAGCAATGTGGAGCAAGTTGAAGAAATATACAATGTAGATACGAGCTCCACGTAGTCCACTCAGTTTCCTAAGATCTGGTTTAAATTCCTTGCCTTGTTCTTTTTCGGGACTTGATTTTTATGGTACCATTCTTTTTCCTGACTAAAGAGCCTTTAGCACACTGATTTAGCCATTTGGCTACCAACCCTCTATTGGTTACAGATTCAAGAGTAGCATCGACGAATACATACGGAAGAAGATGACCATAGGAGCTACTAAGGGCTACCCGCCTTCTGGCTCCTGAACTGCAGAGACTACGTCTCTGCAGTTCAGCGACTCAGCGACTCAATATGGTCAGGCAGCGGGGAGAAGGATAAGAGGCTTCAAATAGGTTGGAAGTCTGTCGCAAGACAGTTTTTTACCCAAAGTTTCTCTCCTTACTCCACAGGTTGTGACCCATGAGTTAATGCCGGGTGGTCGTGCCATCTCTGTCACCAACGACAACAAGATCGCGTACGTCCACCGCGTGGCTCACTTCCGCATGCACACCCAGATCCGCGAGCAGACGGCGGCCTTCATCCGAGGCTTCCGCTCCATCATCAGTCCTGATTGGCTGATGATGTTCGCAGCGCCGGAGTTACAGAAGCTGATATCTGGAGACAACACAGAGATAGACCTAGAAGACTTGAAGTAAGTAAACTGGTCCCTCATTGTTTTCTTAAAAAAAAAAGGTAAAGGTTATTCTGTATTCTGAGGCCGTAGGGGCAGTGGGTTGTCAGTGCACTGTGTCTAGCGTATGGTATTGGAAGCCCATCCCTCTCCTTCCACTTCCTTTTATCTCCAGAACTCCATTTTATACCTGGGTGGAGTGCCTTTCCAAAGGACATGTGGGCCATCCAGGAATGCAAGGAATTAAACCCGTGACCTCTTGATCGCACCCAGGCCATTCAATGTCATATAAACAAGATATGATATATTTTGTACCAGTTTTACTAGCCTCTTAGCCATGGCTGCTGATGGCATGTTGTTAACCTTACATTTCTGCTTTTAGGAAGTATACCCAGTACTATGGAGGGTTCCATCCAGCCCATAGAGTGGTCATCTGGCTGTGGGATATTCTAGCCAAGGACTTCACCAATGATGAGAGAAAAGCCTTCCTAAAGGTAAAACAACAATCAGAACTGTTGACTGTTCTTGGTAAAAGTCTAAAGGAGATGACTACTTTTCCCCATGTACTTCATGACTAGTGGAGCATCTAAAATAATTACTGCACTTTCTTTAAATCATTTGCATGTACCATGTTTGCATGTACGGTGTTACCGGTATCTAAAAGTTAAAAAATTAATCATTTCAAACTTTACCAATAACAAAGAAGACAGTCTACCCTTTCCTGTATTGTCACTATTGTATTTTAAACCTTTCCTCAGTTTGTGACTAGTTGCTCCAAACCACCTCTGCTGGGATTTGCACACCTGGAACCGCCCTTCTGTATCAGGTGTGTGGAGGTGGCTGATGATCAGGATACAGGAGACACTGTCGGTGGGTACTCTGCTCTTCTTATGATCCACATTGTGTACAAATGTACTAGGATCCTGGATCTGTATATATATATATGTAAGTATGACGTATCTGTGTCCAGTTTGGTAAAGCTGTTTAAATGTGGTAGGGTCAATGTAAGGGAAGTATCAACTTGAAATATTCTGCGATCACCGTATGTGTTGCAAGTAGAGGTACAGTGGTTAAGACACAGGCCCCGATCTGTATCTGTACTTAAACAGATGTTGCCAATCTTCTGCAAGTTATACTTGTAGCCAACTGTCTTTCTTAGATAAATTGTTGGCATATTTTAAGTGCTAAATTGTTAAAAGTCTTTAGTGTAAAAAAAAGTAGTGTGTTTTATCTTGTTCAGGTACAGGTACATCAGGTATCAAGGACCAGACCTGTACCTAAAAATAATTTAACTGGTACAAGTACATGTATTAGGTACAGTACCCTGGTTGCAAGTGAATACTGTATACCAGTAACCAGAATTGATGTCAGTTGTTCTCCACTGACTTCTGTAGGAAGCGTGCTACGAGGCTTCTTCACCATCAGAAAGCGGGACCCGGTGAACCGCCTCCCCACATCCTCTACCTGTTTCAACCTGCTGAAACTGCCCAACTACCAGAAGAAGAGCACGCTGAAGGAGAAGCTACGATATGCCATCAGTATGAACACAGGATTTGAACTGTCATAGAGCTGTTGTGGTGAAGAAGTAGGGAGCTCTCAACCAAATGGGTACCCTGGTATCCAGTCTATCGTAGTTTGGGCAGACTGTCTTCAGGGCTCTAATAGTTTTCCCCCGTCCACCTGAACAGACTGCCAGTAGGAGTGTTATGCCTGTAGGAATTTTGCACGCCAGTTGATTAGCTAATTTAACTCCTGTGCAAAACCTACCGGAGAACCTAGCTGAGTCTGGCGGGGAAGATCTCCTGCAGCCCCGAAGAAAACCCGCCCCAACCACGATAGACTGGACACCAGGCTACCAAATGGGAGGGGGCTCGGTGTATGCCCCCCTGTCTTTTCCAGTTGTGTCCAAGATTTCTTACTATAGACACCGTTTCAGCATTATCCTCGCGAACATAGACACAATACATAACTCATTGTGACCTCAAGTGGTACCTAGGGAATTTCTGTCAAGGTATTTCATTGATTTATTGGTGCCAGACCGGCAGCTTGATTGTTATTATCAGCCGCCTCAGTGTGTACTGTGATTTGATGTACTTTGAAGTTCCGGGTTTGTGCACTAGGGGGAGCTACTCATGTGATGTCATGTCTGGGATTTCTGGACAGTTAGTTTTCAGGAGCAAGATATACCGGTATGGCCAAAGTTACCTTTAAACATCGTATCAGAATTAAGATTTTATGCAGACTAGAAGTGTTACATCAGAAACGCAGTATTGAGCAACAGCTAGCCACAAATTTGATAAACAAATACATGTACATGTACAATATGATTTATTTTATGGTGGCACTTTTTCAATTTCAGAATTAATCTGAAAATTGGATGTGTATTATATTTGTTCACTGTCGTATCAGCACGAAGAGCATGGTAGCCTGGTATAGATGTATTATTTAAGGATTTGTAATACTGGATTGTTCTCTGTAAAAGTACTGTGGGGAGAGACATGATTTGTAATGTACCCCAGTATTGTGTGTGATAGGACTTCAACCTTTTTGGATAGCAGTGTGATGGCTCTGTCTCCTCTGTAGACACTGCCCATACAAAGCCTGGTAAAAAGGAGCTACATCACCTAGCAAAAATTTAAAAGTCAGGCAGACACAATGGCCTATCAAAGACTGTCTACACAAAAGAGGTGTTACAACTTTTGCAGTGAAATTGTTTCTGATTGGTCTGTTTTAGATAATTAGATTTCTTTGTGTTAAATGGTTATCACGGGCATTCCTACAGAATGAAAATTGTTGGCTACAGTGCTTTATGTAATTGTATGCAAAAATTGTTGGATAATTTATTTGAAACTATTGAGGAATGTTGGTCTTGCAGTTGATGCTTGAAGAGAGGACAGGCTCATCATAATAGAAACCAAATAAAGATAAATGTGGATAGAGGATGTAGACTATTCCAGGTCATATGCCATAGAGATGTACAGCAAAGTCTATAATGAGTAGGTGTTGTCTATAGGGCTGGTTAGATGTGTAGAAATCAGTAGGAGTGAAGATGTGTAGTTATGAGGTACAGTTGTGTAAGACAGTGCTTCTGTGGTACCAACTGATCATGTATAAATATTTACTGTATATGATGTAGAAAATGTGAATGTTCTGTCAACACATATCCAAGATAGTGTTAACAGCGTACATATAATATCTTTCAGCATTACTAGCCTAGGGTAACATCGTAGACATTTGGCACTAGCTTGATTGATTGATTACTCTCATATTCTGTAAACTCCAAACTCTCTACTGTGTCTACTTTACCTTTCAGTCTGCTGGACAGACAAGCTACATGTAGTTATGAGATGGTATGTGAAACTTAATACATGTAGTAAGGTTTGTGTGCCATGTATATGTGTTCAGAAATATGTTTGTAGCATGTTAACCATTGGAATAGGGTACATGTATATGTGGTCTCTCTCTAGTACTGTAGTTTCTTTGTACATGTGTATAGAATCTTTGTCAGGTCCTGCATACAAGATGTCCAGCTGGACTGGACTGCACTTGGTTGTATTCTGTCATTGTAGATTGATGATTTGTATTTTGCAAGAACAATGACGGCAGAAGGGCTGCAATGGATAAGAGACACTTTCTTGACGTAGGGGGGACTCAATGACTGTTACAAGTAGGCTGGTTAGACTTAGCTGTTCAAAGGCATTCTTGTTAGACCCTATTTAGTGTTTGACTAGATATATTAGCGTCAGCATCTAGCATTCATGTCTGATACAACATGTATATGTGTGCGGATTATGTGCAGTTTTGTCTATTGAAACAAAGGCAACAAACTGAGAAATGGTGGGTGTAGAGCTGTACGGGCATGCTATAAAGTGTAACTGTTGCTGTCTTGATACTGCCTAGAAATGTGGTGATTCCTATGCTTGATCGACAACTTGGCTAACAGAGGAAACTATGTTGATCTCATTCAAGAGGTATACAGATGCATAAGATCAGCTGTGTAGTTGAAGTGGACTGTGGAAACATTTGGCAGAGTATTGTTTCTGTGAATTTGGTTACTGTGAATTTTGGGATAGTCAAGAGGTGTACAATTTGTATTTTTAAGACAGCCTGGAAACAGGAACTGAGCTGCTAGCTCTAGTGTTACAAAAGTTTGACAACACCTCAGGAAAGATATCCTCCTGTTGACAGCCAGATCCCAAGTTTGGCTTCAATTTGGGTCATTAGTTAGTCAACATCAGCACTTGAAGATGTTACTTATAGTGTGCATAGCCAAGAACAAAGATAAGGTTGCCTCCTAAAAGGTACTGCAGCATTTAAGCTAAGAGTACAAATGTCATAGTATATGCACAATTTTTGGTGGTTTGGAGTGAGTGAGGGAACAAATTTTGAAAGACAAGGTTTTTCCTGTCTAGGACTTTTTTCATCCTTTGATTTTTGAATGACATTTTGGGCCAAGATTGGAAACCAAATTTGGTCTTTTGCCAATTTCAGTGCTTGGGCTGGTAACGTTACATGTATATAAAATTAATGCAGGTTACATTTATTTAAGCCCAGATTACAGTAAATATGACTGGATTCTCTACCATAGTCCACAGGTTTGAAGTGCAATACTTGAATACATAAGAAATGCACAAGGTGAAGCATAGCTAACATGACATGTTCCAGATCTGCTGAATGATGTTGTGTGGTAAAGGTTATTAGGCTGTTTTTGTAATGTTTGATACAGAGAATGCAAGCATTTTGGGGTGTATGATTCGAAACATTGTGTGTGAGAGAGTCAGTGTCTTGAGTGATACTGGCAAGTAATTTCAAAAGTAAAGGTATGTCATTGAGAAAACATAGCTGGATGAATTGTGAATTTTGTCAACAGTCATCTAGAAATTATGTGTATGTGAATAATAAGGAAATATTCACAGCGATGTGTGTCAAGATGCTAATTTATTAGGTAAAGAATATTTCATTTTTCCATGTGATTTTGTACATATAATTTGATTTCATATGGTCTTTGCTTCTGCTGTTAGCTGCTGTATTGTCAGTTTTGTTCAACGGGAAAGTAACATGTTACATGTAAAGTTATATGAAATGTCATTGTCTCTACCAGTTGTTTTGGTTATTAAAGCTGTGCACATTGGAACAGTACTTTGTAACTGATCTGTTTGATGACTTAGATACATTACACATACAATAATCTGGATTTTATATGGGGTAGCTATAATTTAGTATGTAATTACTTTTGATAAGTCATGGAACTGAATGCACACAGCAATCATTATTTAACGATCAATCACAATTTCATTTTGCAAAAGAAGAACGTTATTTGTACACAAGCACACAGAGTTCATATGGTTAAGGAACTTCGGTGGCATAATGTCTTCGAAAAGTGATCTTGCATTGCAAGTGATCCAAGAGAGTAAACCCTCTTGTATTTTGAATTCCCCGCCAAAAGAATTTCAACACACATCCGGCGACGAAATGTTACATTTTTCATATACATCCGCCGGTTCTTCAGTTTTTCGTACATTGACACGAAAATAACAACAATAAGTTTCCAACCTTGCAATTTTTAGTATTTTGAAAAAGAAAATTATCATTTATTGGCGTGAAAACATTCTTATATCTTGCACTGCCTTGGGACTATTTTTAGCGGAATGATAAAACCGGAAGTGAGCACACGGTTTCTGCAGACGAATTTTGGAAAGTTGGAAGCGCGCCATGTTTGACGTTTTCCTGTCGCAGCACATAGCGATTCTCTCGCAATAACCGAATTCTGATTCTTGTGCTGTCGCAAAATGACATAATCTTCTGTTGGAAACTAAAGAAGGAAATCTTCAAAGTATTAATCGTGTATTTTCACGGTTTCTTTGAGGAAGAACGTTCCGACGAGGTCAAAAATACTCGATACTGGGAGTGGACAAGGGGCGGACGTGCAGTTATTTTTTGAAGGTAAGAACGCGTTCTGTTTGTGTCAAAACTAAAGGCTTATCTTTGGCAATACTATGAATACATTTGAAGACCTGAGTTAGGTATGTGTGTCTTCTACTGAAAGTGCTACAATCTCTTTCTGTTTTCTAATTCAAAAATAAAGTACATAGGGATTAATTTTCAAGATGGCCGCCCAGTGCCTGAGATGATTTTTGGCGACGATTTTTTTTTGCGTCAAGTCGTTTCTTATATATTATAAAGTTGTCGTACATTCTGCTTTCGAGCATAAGTCAGACCTTCAGTGACTCACAGATAAATGTAGCTGTTTTGCAAATACGTATTTGATTTAGTCAAGGTTGTTCCGGTCAAACAAGAAATTATGACTCAATGCTGATGCCATAAAGATGTAAAAATCCACTGGGATTAAAACAGAATAAACTCGTAGAAAGTCCGAATTACTTTACACATTTGACATATGTTAAGTGAAAGAAGTGGCCAAAACGCAGAAAATACATTGTACTTCGAAACTATGTCTTCATTTGTGTGGCTAGAATTATGAAGTCCCACCTCAACCATATATCAAAAATATGGGATTAGTCATGGCCATAGCTGCCAAGGGTATGGGAACTTCAAAAAGTTGGAACTGGTGTCCATGGGAAAGACAGTTCAGCAAACGAAAGCCTTCTGAATGAATGGGATGTACAGATTTGACTAATCTGAATTTTTACTGTTATTGCTCTAATGATTGCTGCCTAATTGTCTCTGTGCACACTCCCCAATTATACACACCAGGGGTGTAATAAACAATTACTAAAAGGCAATTGCATGGCTTCAGCAATGGCCCATTTAATTTTTTGTGGAAAACCAGTATTTGAGTATATTATCACCATCCACTGGTGGTAACTGGTTTACTTTCCACATTGTCTGATGATTGATACTTGGAAACTGTATTGATAACAGCTTCCCATGCAGGTACAAACGCAAGTGTATAAATAATTCACGCTGTCATTGTCATCCCTTCTGTGTCATGCAACATGAAGATAAGGATATACTTGAAACATTGTTTGCCATGCTTTCTGGCTACTTTAGAGTCAGACAAGTGTCAATATTATGTCTTCTAGCAGCAAAGAGAAGCCTTACAGTTCCTTTGTTTACATGTGATGGGTTTGTCACATGGCCTCCCAGTGGTGGGTGTGGCTTGATCCTTTGATTGACAGCTGAGTGAAACTGAGGCTGCCTGTGTCCTATTATACATGCAAATGTCAGGCAGCCCCAGGCAGTGCTGGGTTTGTTTGTCTGGTGGCGTCCCTTCTGGTGACCCTCATTGTGTAGACAGCTCTGTTCTGTCACGCTGCACAAGCGTCACTCCTCTAGTACGATTTCACCTTACCTCGTGCAAAGAGCATTAGACATTGTGTGGAGTACTATAGCTCAGTGTTTGCTGTCAGATTAGACAGAGGCACTTTCCCTTTCAACTATGGCAAGTGAAAGTGTTTTGGAGCCAACTGGCAGGGCCAGGACTCGGAGTGGAGTTATCTACTCGCCGGAGTATCGCCGCACGAGACAGAGAACCAGCCAGGGCAGCAGCGGGTATGGATCCAGCTCTTCTTCCAAGGACACTTCCCTCAACACCAGCTACGAGAATGAGCAAAACCTGAAGAACACAAGCTCATCCTACCAGGCCAGTTTCACACAGAGTTCTTCTGACAGCATGGGAGGAGTGGTTATACTAGGAAGTGTCACCCGCAGTGGTTCCAACAGGAGCACCAGAAGTGGTGGTTCAGGATCCAGGAAGAGCGCTGCCAGCTCTGGGTCGGGCCATGCGAGTCTTCAGGGTGGGAGGGCGGTGTCCAAGGAGAGTGTGTCTGTTGTCAAAACGTCCACTACGGTCATCACCACTTCCACTATGACCTCCGAATCTCAGAGCTGGTAAGACTGGATCCTTATGGCTATATTGTAGTGGATCTACATTTGTACTGTCATATTGAAGTGGATCTACATTTGTATATATGTTTAAAGGGTACACAGACACAGTTGTTCCGTAGCAAATTTGCTGTTCTCTTTCCTTGGCTTGCTTCTACAAGATGTCCTTGCAATCTTGCATGCCTGGTTGGAATGGCCACAACCCATGCAGACCTTCTGTATTTTGGTTGCCTGGTTTGCATTAAAACTTCACTTCTGACCTCTCCTCTTTATATCACAGTATTGGTAACATGTGATACAGTCAACTGAAAACACTTACAACTCTTCCACCCAACACTATTTACACAGCATTGTTTATCCTATCAGTGTCTATCATTTTGTACCACAGATGTGTTGAAAACTAGCTGGTGTCCATCACTTTGTCTAATAGGGGTAAAACTGAATGCCCTGTGGGGTATCATCAGCCATTTAAACATTAGGAACTTCAATTGAACCAGTTGTAGGATCACTTCTGTGTCATTTTACCCTGTCATTTCCAGTGCTCAGTGTGCAAAACCATTTTGAGGTCAGCCATGGTGAAGGTCTTCCCTTAAATAACACCTCTTCCTGTGACATATGTCAGCAATGTCCTCAGGTCTAAATGTGGCCTGGCTAAAGCTCTAGGGTCTGACAGGCTATAGTAGTAACTGTATAAAAGGTAGTGTTGCTGTGACCGAGTGGATAATACATGTATGGACTTGCCATAAGAATTCTACCATATTGCATAGTGATGTGGTGTATTTGAAGCAGGACGTTTTGTCTGCAAAATAATTTAGATTTTTCAGGCATGTTGTCAAACCTGTTTGTGTACTAGGAGGTACGCTGTATAGCGTCAGTCCCAGAGGCATACAAATAATGACATGTCCATTTATATAGGTGCCACAACAATGTGCCCTCCTCAGGGAAGCTGCAATTAGATAATGTGCACAGACAAGAGATAAGGAAAAAGAGGTAGCACAAGTCTGCCTTTTCTCCACTATGATTAGGTCAGTAGTACAGAGGAAATAGTGGGATATCCAACCAAGATAAGTTGTAGTCCCCCCTAAAGAACTCATTTCCTCTTTATTGTAAAGGCAGTGAAATATGCAGGAAAAATGTGAATCATGATACCTTGACCTTCAATTTTATCTCCACAAATTCATAAAGAGAGCTTTGTGTAAAGATTTAGCTAGGAATTCTAGGCCAAATTTTTGGCTGTAGAAAAGAGTTAAAGAAAATATTAATCACTACAATTTGTTCTAGCTTGAACTTTGTACAGTTCAAGGCAAAAGTAACATTTTTCTGAATGTTGAATTTTTATCTGTTGTTATTCAGTCATCCCCAACGGTCGACCATGCTTTAAAACCGGAGGGTAGACTGTTGGCATGCTGTCCACAAATTCCTGGCATGTGTATCATTGTGTCAAAGGTTAACAACTGTAGAAGGCCAACCCACACAGGCTGACACACCCTTCCACCACAAACAGTGCACATGGCTTCCAGCTGCACCCATAAGTCACCCTGTTGTCAGGGCATGTCCACTTGTCAGTCTGTACACATCCTCAAGGGGCTGTTAAAAAACCTCTTGGGAATTCTCCAAGATTCTTTGTTATGAAAAAAATATTGATAAGTTTTATTGAATTATTTCAGGCCTGTAAGATTTTATTTCACATATTCTCGCAGACCACTTTCTAAATTGCCTGTGAATATCTCAAGCTTTGTTTTGTTGTATGACTGTGTAGGATTTACTATAAATATCAAGCTGGCATATTTGTTGAGCAGCAGAGACAAAACAAAACAAACATCTAGAATACTGGAAGGTATTACAATAGCACAGGACACCCTTCATAATATTTACACATCCCCTGTTCAGATAAACCCCTGTACAGCCTTCTCAAAAAAATTTAGAGTAGGTGGCTGATAAGAAAAAGTAGCAGGCGAGCCACGAAGTGGCTCGAAGC